TACAAGATATCACATTGATGACATTATCCTGGGGGCAAGAAGTAATGATCACTCCAGATGTATTGGTGAGACATTTTAATGTGACATATTGAGAAATATATCCAAGTAAACTCCCAAAGCCTTCTAAAATTTCTAGATTTCTGGGACTCTGGTGAATAAATCATTTAATATGGTCCTCTTTGGAACCAAGAAAGAGCTACTAAAACTCTTATTATGCCTTTTTAGGTTTTGAAGGCAACATATTTCTCAATTGGTACATTACCCTTGCCTGTCATTTACTAAGGAACTAAAGTAGCTGCTAGCTTTGGGTCATTCTTAAAATTGGCCTTTGATTGTATACTCTCAGGTTGCTATAGCAAAGGAAATTCATTCTTAACATTCTAGAACCTGGAAAGACTAAGAACTAATCCTACTCACCATCTAGCTAGGCCCACTTCCTGGTAAACAGACTTTGTTGTTATTTTGTTTCTTCATTATAATCTCAACTAGCAAAAAGGACTAGACAAGCCTCTGAAATCTTTATAAGAGCACTGATCCCAATTATGAATGTTCTGCACTCATTGCCTAATCACCTTCCCCGGTTTCTATTTCAAACACTGTAACAATGGTTTTAAACATACTGATTTGAGGGATGGGACAGAAACATCTATACCATAGCAATCTGCAGCAGATAAAAGTTGATGTGCAAACTTCTTTCTACCAGTGGAGCTACGGTATTAAATAACAAACAAAAAACAGAGAACCAAAGTGCTTGAAGTTTCACTGGCAAATTAGATTAATTACAAGGCAGTCTGCATTTTTCAGAAATAGCTCTTGGATTCTTATTGCATCAACAAGCTACCATGTGACTTGACAACTTATCATAATTGGGTATATCTGATATACAAAGTCATAAAATTCTAACTATTAAACGTAAATGTAAATTGGGACATGATCAGTCCCAGTCAGCCCCTAAAGTTGATAATTAATCATGAGAGTAGCATAAATACTCATGATTCCTACTCCCATAATTCTGACTTCCTTCTCCCAACCTGAACCTGTGATCTCATAGGAAGTTTCCTATGATCAACTCTCAGGGGAAAAGAAAGCTTGAGTTTCATTTTAGTGTAGTTCTGTAGAGAGAGAACATGTAGGAGAGAGGGAGGGAGGGAGAGAAAAAGAATGAATCTTAGGCACCACTGAGGTGTGGGAAGTACAATTATTTATCTCTTTATAAGATAATCCTGAAAGATAGGAATGAATTGGTTGTGCTTTCAACAATCCACCTTGTGCACTTTGCTTAGATGTAGAGATGGACAGATATGCAATTATATAATGATTCATGGACTATATCCAATTATTTGGATTCATTGTCAGGTATTTGGAAGAAATGTAATTGGAAAATTGATGACAAGACATCAGAGGAAAAGCTATGGAGGTAGAGATACCCAACTAGCCATAAATATAAATTTAATGTAAAAACTGGAAAGATTTGAATGGAAGTCTCATTAAAGAAGATATAGAGTGCATGCTTTAGTCTATTTCTAAATCAGTTAAAACTTAGACTGGATAATTTATGAAGACTAAATTTCCCTGTAATTCCAGAAGCCAAGAAGTTACAGATCAATATGGCAAAATTGTGTTACCCAATGAAGGCTGCAATCTAATTCTAAAGTGGAATTGTGTTGCTATGCCCTTACATGGAGGTGGGTAGAAGAAAAGGTCTTTTGTGAGCAGAGAGCTCACAACCTAATCACACTGTAAAACCTACTTCTTAATCGTATCACATTGGGTCTTTGTTTTCCAGATATGAATTGTGAGGCAACACAAACATTCAAATAATTGCAGCTGGATAATAAGCAAATAAAAAAGAGTCTTATCACTAGGGAATTAATAAATTGAAGCAAAAGTTATATGCCACTTCACACCTATTACAATGCCCCAAATCAAATTCAGTCACTGTGGAATAAAGTTTAACATGGATTCGTTTGTTCTTTTTTGCCAACCTAAACATACCAAACCCTTAAAAAAAAAAAAATTCCTCTAGGCTGTTACATAAACAGGTTGAAAACTTGCATCTACATGCCTCTAATGTGGAGGGAAATTACCTAAGGCAGAGGATGTGGAAAGGAAGGGTAAACAATAGGATATTTTAAGACAGAATGTTACACGGTTAAAAAACTGGGTGTTCTACGGGTAGTTGAAATGCTTTCTCCTTCAGAGAAGCTCTTAAACTCAGAAAGAAAACTACTTCAAATAGACTCAGGAATTCCATGAAACTGACCAGATTCACCAGGCACTTCCTTCCCTATGCATATCCAAGCAGTATCAACTCCTGAAAGTCACTTTCTTACAAATGGAGCTGCCCAGAAAAGGTTCAGTTGGGCAAAGCTGCCTGGAAGTGTCAGAGACCAGCCTATCTTCCTGGAGGTGGCAGAGAGCAGCCCAGCTGCCTGAAAAGGTTCAGACGAACTGAACTACCTGAAACTTGTGGAGCTGCCTGTAGGCTGTGCGTTATGGCCCAACTTTCCAGCTCTCATAAGCTGCCCCCCACCCCTCACCTGATGAGGTAGTCTTTTGTTGATGCTTCTGTTCTTGGATAATTTGCCTCTTGTAAGCAATCCCTCACCCATACTCCTCTAAGTAACCCTAATGAAATACAATGCTTCACCAAACTGGACTTTTGTTTGTTGATGTGTTATCAGGTCCCTGTCTGGGGTGAATAGACATCTGTTCATGTCTTTCTGGGAATAATGTCACACAATACCACAAAAAAACTTGAGTACATATATTTATAGTAACTTCACTTGTAACTAACAAAACTCAGAAGCCACCAGGGTGTTTTCAGATTGGCAAATGTCTAAAAATGTATGATATAGCCATATAATGAAATGTTTAAAAATAAGATATTCAATTATGAAGAGTCATGGATGAATCAAATAGATATTGTTAGCTGAGAGCCTGTGTTCTTCGTAATTCCAACTATATGACATGCTGCCAATAACAAAATTAGAAAGGCCTTAAAACAACTGTGGCTTCCATGCTCAATGGAAAGGGGAAAATGAGTAAGTGGGGCACAGATTTTAGATCACTGAAACAATTATTTTGCATTATTTTGTAAAAGTATATACATGTTACTTACACTTATGAATGTAAATATATTCATATGTTGGTCAAAAAACGCAGCACATATAACACCAAGAGTAAACTTTTGAATATATCATCATTGGCTTATCAATTGTAACAAGTAGACAACAGGATATAAGATGCTAACAATAAAGGAGAAAATATTGGAGGTGATGGGTACATGAAATGTTTCCACTTTCCTGTGTCTCTAAATCTATTTAAAAATAAACTATTCATTTTAAAGTGATAGAACACCTCTTCAGAAGAAAATAAAATAAAATGCAGTAAATATCTACATTAAAAAAACAGGTTTCAATCAGTGATCTTGGTTTGTATAGGTTAATGGGAGTTCTTCAGATCAATCATACCAATGAAAGAATTTTTATTGACTATATATTTTTAATTTATTCACAATTCTGTGAAACATGCTCTCTATCTGATTCCAAACTACTTTCACCAATAGGCAACCACCTTTTACCTTTCTTCCAAGCTCTTAACAATCACTGATCTCCATTCTACTTTAATGGAATAAGATATACTAGATAGTGCATACACAGTGAAACTGATGTATGTTTTTCTTTTTTCCTACCTAAATCTTCTTAGCATTGTGCTTCTGAATTCAGGTAGTTGTGGCATGTACCAATAAACCATTCTTCCTGTATATTACACTTTCTTAATGCACTTCACCTGTTGATGGACATTTAGGCTGTTTCACTTTGAAAATGCTGCTGCTATGAGCAGACTTGTCAAAGTTTGGGAACCTGTTTTCAGCCAGACATTGTAGTGTATGTCTGAAACCTCAGAACTAGGACTTGGAAGGAAGGAAGATCAGAAGTTTGAGGTCATGTTTGGGTGGACAGACGACCAAACTGGGCTACACAAAACCTTGTCTATACAAAAACATACATACATAGAAGTAACAGTATATAGACTGAAAAGGTTGTAAGTTGTGTCTGTGAGATATATATATATATATATGTGTGTGTGAGAGAGATAATATATATATATACATATATATATATATATATATATATATATATATATATATGTACGTACGTACAAAAACAGTTGAAAAGGAGGCAATGAATTTGAAGGAGAGTAGGGGGCATATGGGTGGGTTTAGAGGGAAGACAAGGGAAATGTTGTAATTATAGTCTCAAAATTAAAAATAACAGCAAGCAAGCAAAAATCTTGTTTTCATGTCTCTGGAACTGCTGGGTCATATGACGAACTTATAATTTTTTTGTGTGTGTGTGAAACTGATAACCTGTTTCCAATAGTAGAAATGTTATTTATGATCTCAGCCAAAATATTTAACTGTTCAAATTCCCATAGTTGCTGTTATGTAACATTTTAAAACTATAGTCATCCCAGTGAGTAAACGACTCCCCATGTGTGGTATTCTTTGCGTTTTTTTTTTTATTTAAATTTGAAACAAAATTGTTTTACATGTCAATCCCAGTTCCTATGACTAAGGGTATTTTGTTTTTAATCTGCTTTTTATGTAATTTCTGAGGAGAAATGTCCACTAACACCCTTTGTCCACTTGTGAATTGGCATTTAAATTTTATATAGTTATTCATCTTCAATTTGATTTCAAATATATTTCAATTGACACAGTGATTGTATGTGTATGGGGCACAGTGTGATATTTCAGTACATTATGCAATGTGCAACAATCAGAGCAATTGGAAAATCTTCAGACATTCATAGTTTCTTTATAGTAGGACATTTCAAATCCTTTCTGTTAACTAATTATTATTTATTTTGCCTTGGCAATAGATTAGGATACACGTTTTTCCACGGAGGTTCTCTTGACCAATGAAGATCCAAGAGCCTCAGATGCTCACTCCAGCTGCACTGACAGATGTTCCTTCAGTGCAAGCGGTACTCACCGGCCTCGCCTTGTCTGCCCTGCTTCTTGCTCGGGTCCCGCCAGCCATGACAGTCAAGCAATACACAGTGCTCTGGGAGTGAGCTCCAAATCTAAAGACCTAGGACCGCTGTAGTCCCGAGTTCCCAGGGGGCAGTCCTCTGGCTAGCACCTGAGCCTGCTACTCTAGCCTCGTCTGTGACGTCACGGCCGGAAACTGTGGTTCCCGCGAGACAGCGACTGAAGTCGGTTGCCCGGGAAACACGCATAAGTAGTTGCCTGGTTCAGAATGGAGGCGGAGACATCCTTGAGGTCTCGGCAGCTAAACCTTTCAGTCCCAGCTGGAATAGGATTTGAGCAGATGCAGGCTCTAAGTCAGCCAGATGGGGGCAGTTTTGAGACGTGATCATAGAACAATCATGTAACTTGGTAAAACAGTATTTTATTCACTTAGTAAGTTGGAAAAGATGAACAAATACAGAGCAGCCTTCTTTTTAGACTTATCTACTAATTATATCTATATTACTAACAATTTATCTACATGTACCTTATAATCATTAGGTTTTATTTCTCCATGCACGTACCTTAAAAACTTTCAAAAGAAAGAAAAGAGCAAAGCATAATTGAAGACCTAAATTTTGTTTCGAGACAGGATCTCATGTAGCTCGGGTTGGCCAGGAACTGGCTGGGGCTAAGTGTGGCCTTGAAGTCTCCCGCTTCTACTTCTAGAATGCTGGCATTAAAGGCTTGTGTGCCACTATTCTGTTTTAGTCTCTTCTGGAGAACCCAGTTCTGTTTCCACACCTAGCAAACATAGTACCAACTGAAGAGCTTTTACAATATGTGCAGCTCTTCAAATATGAAGAATGCTTCCTATTATGTACTTGATCAGGAACAAGATATTTAACTCACAGGCATTGTTTAAAATCACTTGCATACTATTGAATTTATTTATACTTTTCAAACTGTATAGCAGCTTTTAAGTAACCTGACACAATTGCATATTTAGAACTTTTTTTTCACATTTGGTCTTTTGTTGTTTCTTTTTTACTATCATTATTATTGTCAGAGGGGGTTCTACTCTGTGTACTAGTTATAAAATGCAAACATTTTAGTGGTGGTTTTATTTTTATCATTTAAAATATCAGATTTCATTACAGATTGCCATACCTAGTTAAGCTTGGTGTCTTAGTCACTGTTCTATTGCCATGAAGAGATACAATGACCAGAGCAGCTTTTATAACAGGAAGCATTTAATTGAGGTTTACTGACAGTTTCACAGGTCCATTATCATGGGGAAGAGCAGGCAGCATGGAGCAAAGCTCTGGAGCAGTAGCTGAGAGCTACATAATGATCCCTGGGCAGAGAGAAAGATGGACTTTAGGCTTGGCATGGGCTTTGAAACCTCAGATACTACCCCCAGTGACACACTTCCTCCAACAAGGTTTATCTTTTAATCCTTCTAATCCTTGAAAATAGTGCCATTCTCTGATGACTAAACATTAAAATATATGAGCCTGTGTGACCATTCTTATTCAAATCAACATGCTTGGCTTGACCCTGCTCTCTCTCCTCTTACATTTCCTTGAAGCCTATCCTCATCTAAATGCTTCTACTGTCAGTATTATCCTTTTACGTTTATACCATGTGTGTTTATTACTCTCCCTACCAGTGTCCCTTTAAAGCCTCTTTCCCCCTCTTTCCTGGACCCTTGCCTAGTTCCCTGGTATCTACTGTGGTGGCTTGAAAGAAAATGGCCCACATAGGCTCACAGGGAGTGCAACTATTAGGAGGTGTGGCCTTGCAGGTGTAACGTTGTTGTAGGAAGTGTGTCACTGGGAGTGGTCTTTGAAGCTCAAGCTGGGCCAGTGTGTCTCTGTCTCTTCCTGTTGTATGCAAATCAAAATGTAGAACTCTCAGCTACCTGTCCAGCAACAATGTCTTCCATGATGACCATGAACTAAATATCTGAACAGTAAGCCAGGCTCAATTAAATCTTTTCCTTTATAAATAGAGTTTCCATAGCCCTACAGTCTCTTCACAGCAATAGAAACCCTAAAGCATCTCTCTCTCTCTCTCTGTCTCTGTCTCTCTCTCTCTCTCTCTCTCTCTCTCTCTCATATACCCACAGACATGCACACACAGAAAATTAGAGCTATAGTCTACATTTGACATAAAACATGTAGTGTTTATATTTCTGGTTTGAGCTACAACACTATAATATTTTTCAGTATTATTCATTTTATGACATATTTGATAATTTCATCCTCTTGTGACATAATAAAATTCCTCTGTGTATACATACCACATTTTTATTATCTATTCATTAGTTAGTGGATAACTAAACTTATTCCATTTCCTTGATACTGTGAAAACAGAAGCAGTAAACATGGGTAGCAGGAAGCAAGAGTGTTTGACTGCATGCCCAGAAATGATAGAGCTCAATCACTATGTTTTAACTCCACACTGAGTTCTATTGTTATCTCACTAATTTATACTCCTTCCAGAAGTGAGTAAGTATTCCTCTTTCCAGAATGTGCTCTCATTTATTTGATGCTAGCCATTCAGTCAGGGACTGAAACTTGGAGTAGTTTTCACTATGCTCTTGATAGCTAAGGAGCTTGGGCATAAAAAAAAAAAAGTATTTATTGGCTATTTGTATTTCTTACTAAAATTTTTCTGATCAGCTTCCTAGTCCAGTTTTGGATTGAGTTTATTTTTTTTTGGGTGTTTGTCTTTTGAATACTTTGTACATTCTGGATAGTAATGCTCCTTCAGATAAATAGCTAGCAAAGATTCTGTCCCATTCTCCTGGTTTGGTTAACTGATTCCATCACTACACAGAACCTTTTTAATATCATGATATTAGTTGATATCCTATTAGTTGATAATTGGCCTAATTCCCCCACTCAATTGAAGTCCTATTCAGAAAGTACTTACCTGTGTACATATCTTGAAGTATTTCTGCTACATATCACTTCTAGTAGTTTCAAATGTTTAGGCCTTATGTTAATGCCTTAGATTCATATGGAGTTGTTTTGTGCAGGATTCAAGATAAAGGATTTTATTCTTCACACAGAGATATTCTGTTTCCCCAGCATCATTTGTTAAATATGTTGCCTTTCCTCCACTGGGTATTTTTGGCATTTGTCAAAAATATCTGAGTCTTCCATCCCATTGATCTATAGGACTGTTTTTCTGCCAATGCCATGCTGTTTTTCCTTTTCCTGATGAACATAAATGCAAAATTCTCAACAAAGGACTTGTTAGTTGAACTTAACAACTCACCAAAAGGATCACTCATCACTTCCAGGTAGGCTTTATTTGATGAATGCTGACTTGGTTCAACACATGCAAACCTATATATCACACAAATGAACTGTAGAATAAAAATCACGTCATCATTTTGATAGATGCAGAAAAGGATTTTGAAAAACTTGATATCACTTATGATAAAAATTCTGAAGATACTCATAGGAGAAGGAACATTCTTAGAGGCTAAAGAGAATCTTGGTGGTTAAGAGGTCACACTACTCTTCCAGAGAATCTAATTTCAGACACAAATGCCCTTGATAGATGGATCATGACTGTCTATATCTCCAGCTCTAGGGGATCCAACATCATCTTCTTGCTTTCTCTCTCTCTCCTCTCTCTTTTAAACTCTTTGTCTTAGTTATGATTTTCTGTTCTTGCTGTGATTAAACATTGTGACCATATCAGCCTGGGGAAGAAAGGATTTGTCTCACTGTACAGTTTGTAGTCCTTTGTTTATGGAAGTCACAGCAAGAACTCTTGAGGACCTAAAGGCAGGATCTGACACAGACTCCATGGAAGAGTACTTCTCACTGGTTTGCTCCCTATGGTTTTCTCAGGATCAGCAGCTTGGAGGTGGCACTACTCACAGTGAACTGGGCCTGCTATACTAATCACCAACCAAGAAAATGCACCACGGGCTTACCCTCAGGACAATCTGGTGAGGATGGTCTCTCAGATTTAGGTTGCCAATGCTTCAGCTGTCCTTCTTCATCCTTCATGCCTTTAAAACTAGTACTGCCTGAGTGGTTCTCTCCATACCAATCTTGGCTTCCACCATAATGTGCAGTCTCAAGCCTCTCTGAACCAGATGTTCTGACTCTGAAGACTTCTCGGTCTCTTCTTCTTATTCACCGTTAAATTCCCAGCTACAGCTAACCATCATTAGTTGTGCCAGCAAAGCAAGGTTTCATGTTAGTAGCTTCTAATTCAAAATATTAAATAGCCCTTGTAGAGTATTTAAGGAACTCTAACTTCACTCTGTAATTCCATAAGCCAGGCCTCTATTGTCTGCACTGCTCTTTTGTTTATCCTTTTAGTTCACACAGAATATCCCACTGAGCTTTGAGCACTCAATGCCTTTTCCAGCCCAAAGTTCCAAAGTCCTTCCATGATCCTTGCAAAAACATGATCCAGTTTGTCACAGCATTGTCTCATGACTGTTAACAGTTTCTGTTAACTGTTAATGATGACTATAGTCAACTTGGTGAGGAAAGGGTTAATTTTATCCTATCACTACTAGTTCATCATCCATGGAAATCAAGACAGGAACTCAAGGTGTGAACTGAAGCAGAACCATAGAGGAGTGCTGCTTACTGGCTTGCTCCTCATGGTTTGTTCTGCATATTTTATTACATACTCCAGGACCACCAGAATAGAGGTGACACCACCCACCATGATCTGGGACTGCTCACATTAATCATCAACTAAGAAAATATATTATAGGCCTGCCCACAGGCCAGCTTGGTGGCAGCATTTTCAAAGTCGAGTTTCCCTCTATTCTAACTTGTGTTGACATAAAAATTACCCAACATGATCTGTAAAAAGGAAGAAACATATTGAGATGTAATAAAGTCTCCATGTGACAAGTTGTGATGGTCTGACAGAAAATGGTCTCCAAAGGAGTGGCACTATTAGGGGTGTGGCTTTGTTGAAGTACATATAGCCTTGTTGGCAGGAGTGTGTCACTGTGTGGGAGGGTTTTCAGGTCTCTTTTTGCTCAAGCTTCCCTCAGTATAATTTCAGTTGGCTTCCTCTTGCCTGAAAGAGGTAGGACTCTCAGCTACTACTCCAGCACCACATCTGCCTGTATGCCATCATGCTTCCCATCATGATGATAATAGACTGAACCTCT